TCACTGAGTATGTTTTTCACATAGATGGCACCACTCCGATTAGTCCACCCCCATTCATTTTCCCCAGACTTCTGTATCCTAGTCTTGCTGCCTGCAGGCATCTCCTCACCCAGCCAAATCATTCTCCATTGCCCAGTGGAACATGGGGCTTAGCTCAGATCATCTCCCTACTTGTAAAGTTGATAGCCAAGTGTACTACCCTCCCCCTGGGGCTGGGGGGTGTCCCTATCTATTCACCTAAGAACTTATTATAGAACCAATTGCAATTGAGAGTTTGATTTTGGTTCATTCCACTATATCCAGACAAAACACCAGTGTACCTGAGTCAGATTTTTTTTCTTCCTATAGCAACTGTGGTGGGAAACACCCGCACATATATAAAGTTGACAATCTGAGGTAAGGAAGCAGGATACATGCCATGGAGCCTCAATTACCTGTTCATGTAGTTTACCTGTGACCATTGTCATGCAGTGAATTAGTGGTCTGTGGCTGACGAAGCCAAGTTTATGACTGCCGTGAGTATTTGAGAGATACTTGGGTCTTGATGGCTCAGTGTCATGCTCTCCTGCGCCCTGGGACTCACACATGAATTCCGTTTCCAAATATGAATATGTCTCTACTACAGAAGGTAAGGCCTACCCTCCAAAGCTAAGGTCCACACGACTTTCCAGAGACTCCATGCTGTTTTGGAATATTGATCCTTCAGGCACTATTGGACTGTTAACTTAGAGTTGGGGAAGCTGGCACCTTAGCTGGAACTTACTAAAGGTAATTTTCTTGCTTAAGTCTACATTTATAAGTCAAATAGAAGGCTGGGGTGTAGGTCATGTTCCTAACATGTACAAAGCCATGCGTTCAGTCTCCAGTAACCCGGCTTCCAAAAGTTAGATGTTAAATAGGTTGTAGTTTCTCACAGATCATATGCCAAATTTATTCCAACCTCTGTCCTCAGAGTTTTCCCCTAAAATCCTCATAGATTCTTTAGTTGGCCTCCTATATAAGAAAGTCTAGTCCTTCGGTACATCCAAGGACTCCAGGAAGTGATACTCTCTCCTGAACTTCTTTGCCATTGTGGTCTTGCTCCTAGCTTAATTCTCAGGCTCCGCCAGCTTGCTAGGGTTGCCACCGTCCTCCCCCTCCATCTTGTCTCATAAAGCCAGAGTCCTTCCTACCTTCCAGACTGCCCGCAGCACCATTCATGGACCATTCTACATAGCAGACTGTTGATGAAGGTTTCAAGATAATAGGAGAGGACCTATTATCCAAGACAAGGAGCAGGACCAACTTACACTACAGTGATGTACAATTTCATTCTTCAGGGTCCTTGGGCACCCCTACCCAAGGCCGCACCAGCTGCTTTCCATCTTTGAATGAAACCTACTGTTTCATCTCTTCTGCATTCACTCTGCTCCAGCTTTATTTAGCCTTGCCACTCTTTATTCAGCTACCAGAGAGCAACTTTTGACTTCCTAATGCCTTACTAAGACAAAGCAGTCTATTTTCCGTGGCCGCTCTTCTATTTAGACAATGCCATAGCCAGTATGCCCATCAGTTCCCCTGAGATGGATTGTTAACTAAGCTGTCTATTACATAAAACCACCACCATTTCATAATACAGATTGTTTGGTCAAGGCAAGGCAAAATGTCATGAAGCAAGAATGACTTTGATATCTTTTTTATATGTAGTGCTCACCTGGGAAGAATGACAACTGGGATGATTTAAAGGCTAGGGCCTGTAAGCATATGAAAACCTCTTCACTCTGCCTAGTGCTTCGCTGTGTGGCCGGACTCAGCTGGAACTGGCAAGTGAAGCGTCTTTTCCCTCTCCTTGTCCTTGCAGGTTTAGGCTTCCTCTCAGCAGAGAGGTCTCAGTGGTTAGGCTTGTAACATGGTGGCTTAGGGCTCCAGTGAACAAGCGAAAACTAGGAATACCCAAGAGCCTTTTATTCCTTGACTTTAAAAGTCATGTAGTCTGCAAGTTCAAGGGGAGTTCACATAGATCTTCCTTCTTAACCACAGAAATAGCCAAGGGTTTGCAGCTATGCTTCAGAACTGCCCCCCTTCCCTTCCTGCAGATTGTTGGCACTGATAAAGATTCTCCGGGGCCTGGCTAGGCACGTCCACCAGCCTAGTCTAGATGGCCCTTAGTGGTGTCTCAGATAGAGCTTCCCCACAGCTTTCAGCTCTGGGTCAGAACACCTGGCCTAGAGCTTGGTTCTTTTTCTTGGAGTGTTAGGAGCAGGGGCTCGATACATCTGTTGTAGCCCCTATAGCTACAGAACTCAAACAGTGCCAACTCACTGGTTTCCTGAGAAAGTAACCGCAGTGGTCTTACCAAGGCAGGCTGAAGGGGCCTGGCAGAAAATGACCAGGGTCAGTTTCAGGAAGTCTCTGTGTCTGCTGGTTCTGACCAGTCTGGTTTCCAGTGGGGTAATGCTGCCATATGCCACAGGACCTCTCCCGTGAGGGGATCCCTTTGCAGTCCTGTTACCATCCCATCATACTATATGGATAAAGGCCTTCTTTGGGCTTGTCTTACAGATAAATGACCCCACTTCTGCCCAAACAATGAAGCCAGACCTCACTGTGGGGTAATGAATTCGTTTAGACTCTTAATCCACTGTTGTGAGGTCATGGGCTTGTCAAGTGTCTCACCATCAAGATGTGGTTCAGGAGAGGGATCCTATATAGGACTTAGTCTGTGAACACAGGGAACAGTCACGGTGTCTGTCACAGTTGCAGCACATTGCTTAGTCCCTTGGAAAACCCTGGTTCTATCAACTCTGATAGCCAGCTGGGAAACTTAGTGGTTAGAGACCTGACTAATTTGGGCAGGGGTGGCAAACTCAAAAGCAACAAGGACCAGGTAAGCTGGTTGAATGTGGTCTGAGGCCTGTTGGAGAATGTGTGAGGAGCAACCACTTCTCAGCTCTTCCTGGGATCCTGAAACAGCCCCAGATTGCTCACATTCCCTGAGGACTCAAGAGAAGATGGGAAGATAAATCATTGTTGTATCTCCCAGTTGTGAGAATGTGTTTGTGTTCGTGCTTGTATATATGTGCATGCAACCTCAAGTGTGTGTCCTTGTGAACCACCCCCCTTGGTTTTTGAGACAGGACCTGTCACTGGCCTAGAACTGGCCTAGTAGACTAGTTCCAGGGATCTACCTGTCTCTTCCTCCTCAGAACTGGAAGTACAAGTGAGTGCCAAGAGGCTTGGTGTTTTGTTTTGTTTTTGTTTTAAAGTGGGATCTGCCAAAGAAACTTCGGACAAAGGAGATGACTGTGGTGCTTATTAGCATACCAAAGCCCACACTGGCCTCTCGGTGTACTCCCTACCTGGGGCTCCTCTTTGCTCTTCTTTCCCCACTCCCACCCTAAACCTCTCCAGCCTAGGGCTTCCCTTCCCTTGGCCCTGCTTCTTGTTCCTACATAATCCTGCACTCTTGCTCTTCCCTCCCTCTTTTGCCCTCTTTGCTCTTTGGGTCCTCTGCATGTGGCTATTGGTGTGTCGTGTCGTCCCCCCCCCCCCCGCCCTACTCCCCTCCTCTCTCTGGTTCAGTCTGGACTCTTCTAGATGCCTCTAGCCACACTGTCCCTCATATCTACAATACAAACCTCCTCAAAGGTACCTTGGAGCGGCCATACCCTCATTTCATTCACGATGGAACTCAAGTCTCTGCTCTTGCTGACAGCATTCTCTCCCCACTCCTGGCCAGTGTTTTAAATTTATTCAATGTAAATTTTCCTGTTCAGAAAAAGCACTTTTGCAGGCTGAATGCAACAGGTACACTGTCAGCTGCCACTTCTGTAAGGCAAGGGGTTCATTAAATCTCTAAGCATTAGCAGAGCTCAAACCTTGCCTCCCAGCACTCTGCCTGCAGAGAATAAATGTGGGCCACTCCATGACCCTGACCTGGATGGGAAGTTAGCTCAGACTTCCCACAACAGTTGCACTGAAAAGTCCTTCTTAGGCCTCTATGATCTCTTCAAGAAGATTATACCTGTAAACCCCAGAAACCCAAGGTGGGGGAAGGGGAAGAGTAGTCTGGAAGACAGGCAGGCCCTAGTCACCTCTGTTCCACCTGCACTATCTTGGTGGTTCGTCCACTTAGCCTTTTCTAGATTGTATCATGTACATCTTGGAAACAAGTTTAAAGCCAAGAGTTCTGACCCAGAACTGAAAATTGTAGGGAGGCTATACCCTAAACATCACCACGGATGGTGTTTAGCTAGGCCGGTGGAACTACCTAGCAAGGCCCCAGAGAAAGGGTCCTTGCCTCTTACTAGTGTCAGCATCCTGCAGGAGGAGGAATCTGGCAGTTTTGAAGCACAGTTGCAAAATTTCAGGTATTCCTCTTGTTGAGAAGGGAAGATCTGTACGAACTCTGCTTGAGCCTGTCCCACTGAACCCAGACAGCTGGATGTTTTCCCAAGGATTTGTGGTAGTAATGAAGAAAGCACAGAGGGACATAAACAGGACAAATTGGCCTAGGAATGGGAGCGTTTACAGAGCTTGGTTCTCTGACTCTGAGAACCACAAGAGTCACAATATGCTAGATTGTGGGCCCGGGAATACGGTGAAGGAAGAGAGTAGTAGGAGTGGATTTCTGTGCCCTGTAAGCAAAGAAAAAAACATTGTGAATTGGAGAGTAATGTTGCTGTAAGAATGAGTTCCCTGCTGGGAAGGGCAGGACCGAGAGAACTCAGGATATAGAGAAATCGGAGGGGTGGGTATCCCCTTTCCCTGCGGAGTGTGGAAGACATCTCAGCAGAAGGGTCCTGATTAAGAAGAGAGCATCCTTACGCAAACAGAAAGCGCAACCTCTTAGCCGGCTCGGTCCCAGCTAGGTTTGAAAGCAGCGGTGCTCTACTGACGCCGGAAAAGATGGGGCGGTTGCCACGGCAACGTGGAGCGCACATTGGAAATAAATAAGCAGTCGAGTTGCCGCAGCCGCGCCCCCGCGGGACAGGCACGCAGGGGAGGGGACCCCTCGGGTCCGGGTCCCCGCAGCCCGCACGCCCTCGTCATTGGTGGAGACAGAGGGGGGGTCACCCCCGGGGGGCGAATGGTACAGTCCTCCGCCCGCGCTCTAGCCCGGCCCAACGCGAGTGAGCGAGCCCCCGCGCAGCCGCCGCTGACCGTGGAGCCCCAAGCCCAGTCCAGGACGGCGATGGAGGGAGTGAGCAGCCACCGCACCCTGTCCTACAGCCGCTGGAGCTACGATAGGTAGGGCGCGCGCGGGGAAAATGAGCTCCTCCCGGTCCTCCGGGTGGCCACGCGTGGGCGCCGCCGCTGACGCGCGTGCTCAAGGCTATTGCGGGCGTGAGCGCCCGGGGCTACGCATAGATTCCGGCACCGCATCCGCAGGCATCCGGGACCCGGGTTACCCATGGCCTGGGATATGCAGAGTCGGAGCTCAGGCGCGGACATCCTGACACCTGCGGGTCAGAGCAATAGGAGGAGCATGCGCGGGCACCGAGGTCCTCGGGCTGTCATCTTGCGATGCGGGTGGGCGCTGGAACCCCAGAAAGGCCGCGCCTGCCCCGCGCTGCCGCGGTGCGCCCAGTCGACCCTCAGTGAGGGACCTGATTTGTCCCTGAGCAGACTGGCAGACTTGCCTCTGGGAGTTGTTGCTTGATCCACCTGGCTGGCGGGTCTCTGCCCTGGGCAGGGTGTTGGGGCATAGGAGCCGCACTGGGCTCCAAAGGGGTGTCGGGCTCCGCGTTCACTCCGCGGTGATGGCAAGCGGCTGCCAGCGTGGGCGGCTTGGAGCTGCGCTCCCCACGCACCGCACCGGTCCTGAAGGAAGGAATCATCCTTCCGGACAAAATGAGAAAAATAAGGACAGCAAAATGAGTTAGTGATAAAGCAGAGTAGATTATTCAGAGGCTATATCCGTTCTACCATTTTTTTTCCTTTTTACGTGTTAAATGACCTCCATCCCCAATTTAAAAAGGAAGACATGCGAATAATAATTTTGTTGATGTTATCTTCGTTTTTTAAGTTCCCAACCGTGTGTGGATCTCCAGAGTCCTGGAGTGAATTTCCGATCCCTGGCTTTCAACAGTAAAGGCTGGAAGAAACTTCATTAACTGATCTCCCCGCCCCTTTGCTCTTCCCTTGGCCTGCTTTCCTCTGAGAAACCCTGGCTGCATCTCCGACAGTGCTTGTTTTTCTACGATTCAGAGGAACAGGTGTCCCTCCTTCCCAAGACTAATTCCCGCGAGGACCCACCTCTCTCGCCCAGGGTCTCCCCTCTGCAACAACCCCATCTGTCTCCTCCTAGCCAGCAAACGTGCAGGTTTGTCCACTCGACTTCCTCTTATGGTTGCGTCTGATGCATCCCTTTCTTTGCATTTAAGGCCGCTTCTGGGGCCATACTCTTTGAAGCAGCGATCCCCCCCCCCTTCAGCACAGCCCTAGCAATCTGCTGACACCACCCCCATCCCCCCACCCCTGCCGCCACCTCTCAATTCTAGTGAAACTGCCCTTCTGAACAGCAGTGTTCTGCCTAGAGAAAACTCAAAAATGGCTGGTATATGCAACTCAGAAGAAGAAAACCTACCAGCTTGTGTTGCGATCCCAAATCACACATTTATATATTTAACGAACAAACATACATGGAGTACAAACTATAGGCTGAGCCCTGGAGATATGGATGCTTCAAACGGGCTCCACTGTCTACAGTCGGGTAGAGACATGTGGTAGCATATGCCAAATGCCTAATGAAACTATAGGAGGAAAGTTTAAAGTCACAGTAATTTTTAGTAGTAACTTGTGTTTGGTTTTTGCTTGTTTTGTGTTTTGTTTTTGTTTTTGTTTTTTTTTTGCCTCTGTACAAACAAACCAGGGGCGCTGGACCTAGACAACCTAGATTCAAATCGTGACTCCAGCTAGCTGACCTCAAAGAACTTCCCCTTTTCTGGACCTCAGTTTCTCCATTTGTAAAATGGCGTCGTGTTGGCAATATTAAATGAGGTGATGGATATCAAGGGCAGAGCAAACCGTTGGGACACAGTGGTCATTGCTGTCGCTCTTTCGTTAGGCAGTGCTGTAATAATCTTTGGGAACCCTGGTTTTCAGGACCTGGGTACCGGTCTCCTTTTTAGGCCATGACATGAAAATATTTCTGGGGTCCTGTCTCCAGGAGTCTTTTCTTGTCATCCTGACATCCTCAATGTCTTGGGACTTTTATAAAGAAAATGGAATCTGCCTGTCAGCGGTGGCACACGCCTTTAATCCCAGCACTCGGGAGGCAGAGGCAGGGGGATCTCTGCGAGTTCTAGACCAACCTGGTCTACACAAGCTAGTTCCAGAACAACCAGGGCTGTTACACAGAGAAACCCTGTCTCGAACCTCCCCCGAAAAAAAAAAAAAAGGAAAGAAAGAGAAAACAGAATCCTTGGATCACGTCCAAATTAACTAAATAAGGATATTAGGACACTAGACTCCGTTAGTGCAGAAGCTCCCAGGTGTGAAAACACTGGTTGGCCTGTTCTCTGGAGCCACAGGTCGATAGCAACCATATCTGTTTTGGCTTTCAAAACATAAATATTAATTGCAAAAGAATCACACAACTTCCAAAGACGGCTAAAAATACTACATGACACATGTACAAGGTACAAGGATATTAAAAATTAAACTCTGGGCTCAGGATGTTGCTTGGTTGTTACGTGTTTACCAAGAATGCAGAAGGTCTTGGGTTTGATCCCCAGCGTTGCATAAGCCATGGCAGCACACGCCTCCAATCCCAGCGCTCAGGAGGTGGAGGCAGGATAATTAAGAGTTGATGGTCATACAGAAAAGGTTTTAGGCTAGCCTGTGGTACCCTCGGGGGGGATAAAAGGCGGGGTGGGAATTTTGTCCTTCATCTGCCTTACCCTGACCTCACAAGTAAGCTGTACTTCCTGGACAGTTCTTACGGTCTGCTTCAGGCTCAGCTTTCCTGGGGCAGGCTTGTTTCTCCGCTGGTACCAGGGCTGAGACAGCCAGAACAGCTGTGTGTGTGTCTCTCTCCACATGCTTTTTGGGGATTGTTCATATCGTGACAGAAAGGTTGTCAGGTGAGACCCCTTATGTCTCTGTCCATCTCTTCTCCGTGGTTAGCTTCCCTTCCCTTGGCCGTAACAGCTCTCCGCACTTCATCACGCACAAGACCATCTCACATATTTGTGATGTGGAAAAAACCCAGGGCCCCACATGTGCCAGGCAAGTGCTGAGCCTAAGCTATGAGACCCCTGAGCCGGAGTCTCGCTTGAACTCACTGTGTACTCCACTACGCTGGCCTCACGTTCTTCAGTTCTCCTGTCTCGACCTCCCGAATAGCTCTGATTGCTGTCCCTTGTCACCAGACCTGTACCCCAAGACACTAAGCAAAGGGCCTTGTCTTTTCCTGCTCCTTAAAAAGCTGATCATATGAGGCCTGACCTCCTGTCACTCTCTGATGTCACGCCATTTCCAACCCACTCCAGGCACTCCATTTTGGGGACTTTTGTTCTTGTTTTCTTGTTGTTTTTATTTTTGCTCTTATAAACAATTCTATTATAAACATCCGTGTTTGTGTAGAACTTTCCCTCGTGTCTCGTGTCTTATCGTGTGATTAGCACAAACACCTTGAGGAAAGACTGCTAGTCTTCGACTCTGCCTATTGCCAAGTTGTCCACAGAGAAAAGAATTGTTTTCTGGTTTTACAAATAGCTTTGGATGATTTCTTTGACAGTAATCTATTCACCAGTTTGGCCCCTTAGACTGGGTAAAAGTGACATTAACTACGTAGAATTTTGTGGTTTTCTGTAGTCAACGTGATCTGACTTAAAAGCCCAGTTCTACCAGTTACTAGTCATGTGACAAGTTGTGTAACCCCCATTGACAAAAAAAAAAATAAAAAGATAGTCGTATCAGTCTCTTCAAACAGTCCATTCATTAAATTATTTTAGCACTAATGGCGGCAGTGTCTAGAGACTGGAGATGGTGCAGGGAACCAATCAGCCCAGTCTCAGTTCTTGCTGACTAGTGGGTGTGGGATAGACGTGGACAAAACACTCGAAATGGATAAGGCCAAGCAACTTATGGAAGTGCAGAGAAGGAAAGTAAAGAGGACAGAGGCCAACTGCCAGGGCAAGTCGGGGAGGGAAAGGCTCCATCCTGCAGTGTGGACAAGGTGATACTTCAGCAGTGTGGCAAAGAGCAAGAGAATTGGGGAGTGCGGAAGAGCGCCCCCTAACGGGAGCAGCACTGAACGGTCCGAATAGGCTAGAGCGCTGCAGAGCAACGTTGTAACAGTTCTTTCCTGTTCCTCCTCCAACTTCTGTACCTCAGAGAACCATTTCCGTTTGTATGTCTTAGAACTTTAAACAAATGGCATCACTCAGTATATGCCCTCACGGCTGCCGTTTTCCCATGGGGCCATCTGACATTCTTCCTGTTGCCCAAGTCAGTAGATCACGTCTCTTTACTGCTGAGAAAGTTCCCATTATAAGCATAGTCTGCAGTATCTAGTCATCCTCTGGCAGACGAGTGGGCTGCCATTAGTCTGGGGCTATTACAAATAAATAGAGTGGGCTATATGCAAATACAGATATGTTACTATCAAGTACAAGTCTATATGTTAAGTGTGTTTTTGTAGTTGGTAGGCAAACATTTAGCAGAGGAATGTCTGGGTTATATGGTCATTGTATATTTAACATTTTCAGAAACTTTTCCCAAAGTTGGTGAACCATTGGACATTCTCATGAGCACTGGTTGGGAGTTTCAGCTCCTTCACATGCTTGGGACAAGCCTGTACTGGCAAACTTTTAACTTGAAGCATTCCAATATGTATGTAGTGGTATGTCCTTGTGGTTTTAGTTTGCATTTCCCTGGTAACTAATGATGTTAAGCAACTTTTCATGTGCAGCTTTTCAACTGCCATCTACATGTCTTTGGGAGGAAGTATATGTTTAAGTGTTTTCCCTATTCTCAAACCAGGTGTTACCTTATTCTTAGAATTTATGAGACCTTTTGGTAATTTGGCTATGTGTCTCCCCCCCCCCACACACGTGTGTGTGTGTGTGTGTGTGTGGGTGTGTGTGTGTGTGTGTGTGTGTTCAGATGGGAGCTCATGTAACCTCAAACCCTGCATGGCTGAGCTGGTCTCCACCTCCTGATCCTCCTGCCTCCACCTCCTGCACACATGTTAACCCCATGCCTGCCGGACTGTTGTTCTTCATTGGTTGTATAGCCGGCTG